TGTTAACTTGGATTAATTTTAATTTGGTTATTTATTCTCTGAAGAAGTGACTTACACTAAGTCACGAAACGTCAGAAAATCTAATTTTTTACTCATTGGGATATTACAAATATTATTTTTATTTATAACAATCTACCCAATGTTCAATTTATTCGGAATTATCAAATCAAACCTTGGTAATGATAAATAATTGAGAAATAACTCTTTCTAGCCATCAGCCATGACAAATATACATACTACAACAATTGCTTAATAGCACTTATGTGTTTAGAAAAGATAATGTACAGTATCCTATGTAACCGAGTTATCACGGTCCGTTTAACGTGGTTTCGAGGAGACTGATAAAGCAATTGCTGTAGGAAAATAGATGTAATCAGTATCGACCAAGTTGAACCAGCTTTCATTGAAAATGATGATCAATCGAAAAATGCAAATCCTTTAAAAACTGTAGAATCACTGAAATGTGAATCTTAAGCATCAATGATAAATATGACAGAAGAAACTCTAGTGACGGCGAGATATAGTCATAGAGTTAAATGACCGCTATGGTATACAATCACAACTTTGCATTAGTAATTTATTTCACTGTTTTGAACATAAATTAATTTATTCCTCTTCTTTTTGTACGCAAGCATCGTTAACCGTACATTATCTTTCATACAATTCGACACATCTTGTATATTTTCACCCCTATTATGTATAAAAATGATACCACACGCTTTTGATGTTTTATCTGACCTCACCGATGTACATAAACACGTATAACCTTACAGGGTAGTTTTTTTTAATACGATATTCGAGTGGATTTAGACTCAACGTTTCCATGTAAACCTAGTGTACAGCCCAGTGTAATATCGGTCATGTGCACGTTATTGTAATCATAGGATTTGTCATGTTATAGTGTATGTTTTATTAAATAACTAGATTATGCTGTGAATCTTGCTCTGGTTGAATTTTCATTCGTGACCTCCGACTGCGTTACACTGTACGTTCATTGCATGCTGAGACGATATCCCAAATCATAGCAAGTTATTCTTTAATACGATACTTTCTGTGTATCATAGGTACTCTGTCCAGTTTAACGTTGTATTTTACATAACTTTGTTTGCTAGTTGGGGGGTTATTATAGCATCTTTACTGCTAATAAGTTTGTTTACGGTTAATTTTATCAAGCCCGTTTATTAAATTCTTTGACAGATAGTGTTATCTGAACAATTTACCTATGTCTCTGTATCAATATTATTACTATCATGTTTGTACAAAACATGTACATTTGGACTCAGGCGACACGTTGAGCACATATCCTTCTCTTTAGCTTAAAACCTATCGGTGAATCATTCGCTATCCTATATACATCTTAACAAATCAATTCTTGGTTCCCTTCTGTATTCGCACTTCTGCTTGAAATCGTTTGGTGTGTTAGTGATGGTGATCTACGCCATAAAATGTTAAACTGTAGTCGGAGCTTCGTGTTGCCTTTTGAATTTACTGTTGAAGTTTATTTAATAATCTTTATCAGAGCGATTGATGTACAAAGCCTGGGGAATCATCTCGAAGCTGACTGACTGACTACAAGCATATTCTCAACAGAATTACAGTTTGTGCGGTTTTTTCGACATCTACGTCTTCAATATGATAAATAAACATGATGAATTGACAGAGTGCTCTGTGTCTAATCAGTATCGTATATGATATAACGGATGACTTAAAATAGTTTTTGTCTCTGCAGTTTACTACGATAATACTTTAATGAAAGATTATTATGGGTGATTGAATTTATAATACAGTTAGATTGGATACCTAGTCGATGTGTTATACACATAGTAGACCACGTCATAACAGATATACGATTCATGACCAAGAATGGAGCTGGACAATACTGTACTCCACAAAGTGGATGTGGAGCAAAAATCAGTAAGATTAAAGGAAATCATGTTTGATGGTCAGGAAACTGCATATCTGTCTGCACACACTCAGTGGTCAGTCACGTTTACTTTCACTATCACACACCATAATATAACTAAAGAATTATGATAAAACTGGGGGATTGATTACTGACATTCGATCATTGGTACTTTTGTGTTATGTTCTGTGATACTCTTTCGATAAATTTAAATTATGCACCAGGTATTCTCGTTAGTGTAAATATGGTAATTCTGGCAGCGTCGGGGCTCTTATTCGTAATATTTTGATTACATTTGCTATTTGTTGGTTGCGTATATGTTGATTTTGTATGACAGAATAGGTGCCGGCAGTCCATAAAAGACTAGAGGCGCAATAGGGGTTGTGTTCGATTATTAATAGGGAGTTCGGTGGCTCAACTTCAATTACCTATCAAAGCTATCGGCAGATGCTCATGAATATAATCACATTGTCTCCTTAATATCGTATGCACCATTAATTAACACTCTATTTCAATGTCAACTTCATCCTGTGTGTCCTCTAACCCTATATACTGATACATTTCAAACGCGTTGAAGGAATTTCGCGCCAAAATACGAGAGTCGCTCACTTATTTCTGATGATTTTATCGAAGAGTGTACTAGTTATTCTAATATTTATCTATTTTCCGTAGTCGATAAAGTGACTCGATCATGACAGCTCATTTCATAAAATTGAGTGTTTCAATGGAGCGAGTCACGGAATACGATATTCCAGAATATGCATATTATTAGACAAAGTGATTACGTTACTTGTTTTGAGATTGAAATCAACACTTCTACGAACATGTATAAAAGTTTGGAAGCAGCTAATATTTTCATCTGACCGATTTCAGAGTCCAAACAACAGATGTCGTTCATTTGCCTCGATTTTCAAACATTATGTTGTTGGTTTGTGAAAGCAATAACAAACAACAAATGAGACTATAATGGTCGTTTCCTGAACTAGGTATGCAGATCTCTTCCATACTGCGACGCTGTCATGGATTGAAAAGTAGTACGCTTTTTCCGCTTAGTCCCAATGTCGGTAAATAACGCACGATGTGGAATTGAAAAACATAACATTCGTAAAAAATGTCCAAAGTAACAAAGTTTGTGTATTACGATGGTGATATCAATTAAGTTATCGTAGCTCTTCCCAAGTACACACTTCCTAACCTTGACTTTACTGACGTACTGTTTACAGTGTTTCAACAACACCTCGGAGATAACGATTATTAAACAAAATCTCCAAACATACGCAATTCGGACAGGCTAGGTTTCACAAGCACAACTACTCTCACTGACGCGATGTAGTCCCGAACTTTTAACATCCAGACAAACATTTCCAAAGTGGCAAAGACAAGCATAACCTGCTCTGGTTTTTATAATACATTGATTGATTTCATCCAATACACCAACAGAACATTTCTTACACCACTTCATACATAAATTCGTAACAACAGTGATTCGAAACTTATCAGTATCCTGGTTGGATTGTGTGTACATTTGCTGAGGAGTCTAACTGGAACTAAATGACTATCTATTACTTCCCTTTTTGGTTTCATGTATTAGTGGAATAGTAATTAAAGCAGCTAGTTCACATTGAACAACCTTTATTGGGGTATAATATCATTAACTCTAGCATGGAAGAAATATATTACACAAACTAGTATTATCTACTTACTAAGTTATTGTGATCATTGAATCGTTGTTTTGTATGATTAGTTTTTTCGTATTCGTGTAATTGTTATGCCCCGATAAGCATAATGAATGGTAACTTTTGGGATCCATTTATGGACCAATACTATACGTATATTTTGTCGTATAATTTTTATGTAACTGAACTATTCGTATTCATGTCCCTCTTATCACAAGCTTTGTTTTGACCTATGAACTATTATTATACAATTTACCATTCTTGAATTATTTCCTGTCTATTAATTACTACCTCCCTCATTCACAGCCACATTTGGCTAATTCTTGTACAGGTGATGTTTCATATTTTGTGGTACGTTGTGGTCTGTCTGGTTGGTATATAAACCCAATATGCTTGAAATAAAGGATTCATTTCACAGAAACTGAGATTTGTGTTCTGGACTTAACTGGCTAAGCTAAGCAGGAAGCAAGATCAATAAGGACTCTAGACTGTGTCATACTGATTTACGCGTCATTGATCCGATCGATAAGTCACTGATCTCTAATTGGCGGTATTCCTTACGTTATACATTAACAGGGCACACAGGCCACAAATTATAACAAATTTCATCATTAAAATGACTTCATCTAATCATTAAGTATATAAAGCTTGAAGCTTTATTGTTAGCGGGACATAGACTGGATGAAAGCGTGCTCAATGTACGATTGCTTTGCTGTACGCTGATTGGCGTTAGTCAATACTTAGTGAACACTAGAAATCTCATGTGAAAAACTATAAATATACTAACGTTTTCCCTATTGCACTTACTTACTTACTTGCTTCTTACTTCCGTCTAACCTTGTTGATTAGAATATAATCTCTCTTCCTGTTCAACCGTGTTCTGATTTGAGAACTTGTCGAATGATTTGGTGTCGAAGACTACTATTAAGCAATAGGAATAGTTGGGTTACAATCGTAAGAGAGAATTATAACATTTATAAACATAAATCGCCTGTGATATGTTGTTGGGATATTCAGGAAAATATCCCAAAAATTATCCTGTTAAGCCTAATGCTATCCTTGGACATGAAATGGTATCATCTTATTGGTCAATATTTAGTTAACGTGTTATTTTCCTACTGGCCATTATTGTACAATGTTATTTTCTATTTTATGGTACGTTGTGGTCTGCTTGACTGGTATATAAACAAAGTATGTTTGAAATATAATGATTCATATATCCGAGGCTGTGACTTTCGTTCTGGACTCAATTGGCTGGGCTATACAGGGAAGCAGGACCAATCAGAACCTTAGGTCGTTCTACGTGTTTGTGCGTCTTTGGTCCGATCAATAATTCGCTACCCTCAATCAGCAGCATACATTTTTTCACGTTATAACATATGTATCACAGACGACACTCGAATTCGAACCAATCTAATCACTAATCGAAAAGAAAAATATATTCTTACTTTCTTCACTATGAGATCTATATCCGATCAAAAGAAAATTGTAAAATATTATATAAAAAATATAAAATAGAATAGATTATATTGTTTTACTTGTTATCTTTCTTATTGTTTCTGCATCAGTTCTTATTGAATCTAATTCATTCAAATCCATATTAAATGTATTTTTCAATGCTTCCCTTAAACAATTTTGATAAATTTTCAATTTTTTTTCACATGGATCTTTTTCAAATGTATAACCTTTAAGAAAATTTGGAAAAAATTCTTGAAAGCATAAATCATAAGCAGTTTTTACTGTATCACATTCTGGTACAATACTGCCTAATCTAGAATGAATTAATTGTTCATGATTTTCTAAGTTTTGATTTATTGTATCATTATTACTATGAGAATTAGAATTATCCGTTGAATTTGATTGAGACATTGATAGAAGTCTATAAAAGTAAAAAAGATAACATTGAGGATTAATCAAACAACAAGTTAAACATAAGTATAAATATGGTATTATAGTTAAGCTTTACTTATTAGTACAAAAGTTAGTGACATAGTATGTCAAACAATAAATTCTATGAGTGGGCTACTAAGACTGTTGATAGGACTTGAGTTTAATTCTTAGAATAATGCCTGAAATGTTATTGACGGCTATCTATGTGTAGGCGATACACTGAAGAACGCATTTCATGTTTAGCTGATCAAGAGTCTCAATGAGGTATGTAGAGTGAGAGATGACGCAATGCCAGGAAAGCCGCTAACTAACAAGTTAGTGACTTCAAGCACTGATTCCACGTTTTCGTTTGGCCGCCTCTAACTTTCTTCCAACCATCGTCAATACCGGATAGCATTGCACGTCGCGGTAATCGGTGTTCAGGCATACGTAACACGTGGCCCAACCATCTCAGTCGATGAAGATTCATAACCTCATCAACCGATTTACCATCATTCCCTAATACCCTGCGTCTAACCTCAATATTACTCACCCGGTGATCCCAGCAGATGCCAGCAATATTTCTAAGGCATCTGTGGTCAAATACTAGTAGCTTACGAGTGTCTTCTACTCTTAATGGCCATGTTTCGCAGCCGTAAATTAAAACAGAACGGACTGCCGCGCAGTATACTCGTCCTTTTATTGACAGACGGATATCTCGCCTTCGCCACAGGTGACGTAAGTTGGAAAAAGCCAAACGAGCTTTTCGAATCCGTGCTGAAACTTCGTCAGACACCAACCCATTAGGGCTGATCAGACTTCCAAGATAAGTGAAGTTGTCAACGCGTTCGACTACTTCACTCTCTATCCTTAGTTCAGATGTTAACGCAGACCAATCCTGAAGCAACAACTCGCATTTCGAGGGAGAGAAGCGCATTCCAAACATTCTGGCATTGTTGCTTAGTGCTACCAAAAAATTCTGTATTTTATCAGCGTCTTCACCAAACAGGACTATATCATCTGCATATTCTAAGTCGATAAGTGGACCTCCTGGATGGAGATCAATACCCGAGAATTCAGTCGACGAAAATGTTATTTCCATCAGTAGGTCTATGATGAAGTTAAACAAAGATGGAGAAAGTGGACAGCCTTGACGGACACCACTTGAGGTTGCAAAAGTAGATGACAGTTCGCCATAAGCTCTTACTCGACAAGTAGTGTTTGAGTAAAGGAGGACACAGAGTGAATGTCCAGTGAATCACCTGTGTTGGTGTACACAGGATTCAACTAGGGGAGTTGAAAAACCACAATTCTAAACCAATGGTGCACACGAGCTCCATAATCCTAATGAAGAAAATGGCGTATGAAACAATCGGTGGTCACCGACTACCATGGGACTGCATCTAAAGTTTCTCTACTGCCTTGTGGATTAGACCTGTAGGTCAAATGCTCGGGAAGTGACCCCACTAAGAAAACCACCTCCTGCAGCTTGAGTGCCCGAGTAGTATCCTAGCCCTGACATAAATTGAAATATTTAATAGGCGCATATCTACTTAGTGCCTCTTTGTACAATTGTTTATGTTTTTAAGTAAATACACAGAACCCCATAGAATAGTTTTCAAAGGACCTGAATGAATGTAGTTACTGGGTAGACTGCGTATTATATCCATTAAAAACCACGTTTTTACAAAAACACTGAACAACTAATCGGTCTTATTTATTCACAGCAACCTTAAAAGTCTTAAGCATAAGTCACAACATGGTGAATTCTAAGCCAACCACTGCGCATGAATATGTAATTAATCATTACAAATTCAATGAAAATTTGGTTTGAGGTCGTGAGAAATAAATCAACTCAGATATTCACTATAAATACTCAATCACTGAACTTATTCACATTAAATGTCAATTACAGAAAACATGTGAGCAGTGATTTAGATATCAAAAACCAATAGTATCCATTTCCAAGATTACTAAGTTTCACTATCTGAACACAGATTAGGCAAACAAGAGTTTAGATGATTATGGAAATGATTAACCAATATTATTAAAAATTATTACAAGCATTACGTCACAGTGTAGCGGTGAATTGATAGTTAAGTCATCTCACTTTCAATCATCAAGTTGCAAGTTGGAATTGTTCGCTTTACCCAATTCGGTTTAGGCAACCTAACAGTATCACTAACCTTTATATATATGTGGGTGTGGTTCAAAGTCAGGTAACTGAATCTGTACCTGGTAAATGAGTTAGTGGTTAATTGTAGTTTGTACAGAATAGCACTGGAATTTACAGTCTATTAGATCTGTGCATAGCCATCTAGGAATACAATTTACAACCAGTTTACAAGATGTTTGAATTTCACTTTACTAATGATCAGGTAGCAACCAGTTATCACTCACCTTTATATGACAGATGTGATTCATATCACCGGCTTGTGAGACGATAATAATTATGCATTTAAATACTTAATTGACAAACCAATTAACTGTATATTCAAATGTCATAGATTTAACTTATATGCATTTCAAACCGCATTCCTTTGGAGATGACACGAGCAGGATCATTTATCTTGTAAAGAAGAGGAAATAATCCTGGTAGTTATGATAAAGAGGACTAAACATCGAGAATATGGTTAAGAAAGACAGTCTGAAAGAGTATGTTTGAAGGAAGAATGAGAATAATAAATGTAGAGGAATGTGAAGAATGATAACTGTGACTGATTCTGTAATTATATGTAGAATATATAGTAATATATTACTGTAGCTCTTCTAGGGATACTGCCGGTCCCAAGACCGGGTAAAGGAGGAGGGTTTGGCATGGGGTCGGCAACCCCATCCCGTAGAAAACAACCATGCTAAAAAACGCCAATCAGATTAAACAAATTAAATCATTTAAACTCTACCCTCGGGATTGAAGGAAGAATTATGAGGCCCCATGCTGAAAGCCGAGAATCTTCGGAAGTCACGAGGTCTATACCCCTTCTAACAATCAGAGCGACAATTTTTATAAGTATATGGAACGTTCGAACGATGTGGGAGACCTAATGAAACAGTCACATAGCAACAGAAATGAGGAGATACAACTTGGCGGTGTTAGGAATCAATGAAACCCATTGGACTCAAGCTCAACAGCAAAAAGTTAGGTAAGGCAGAAATGTTGCTGTACTCTGGTCACGAAGAGGAAAATGCTCCACATACTCAGAGAGTTACTCTGATGCTGTCCAAAGAAGCACTTAAAGCACATTTGAGATAGGAATCTTATGGACTCAGGATCATCAAAGAATCCTTCAAAACAAAGGAGGGAATAACAGTGAATATTATCCAATGTTATGCACCCATCAATTGATAGCAATGACAACGATAAAGATCATTTCTATGAGAGGCTGCAATGAATCATAGAGAAGTGCCCAGAAAACAACTTAACCACCTGATAGATCTAAATGCCAAAGTCAGAATAGGCAACAACGGGTATGAAGATATCATGGAACGACATGGATTGACTGGGAGAAACGAACGAGAATGGTGACAGATCTGCAAATTAATGTGCATTCAACAAATTGGTTATAGGCTGCACAACATTCCCACACAAACGCGTACACAAAGCAATAGGGATCTAACCGGACCACATCACGGAGAACCAAATAGATCATATTTGCATCAGTAGAAAATTCACAAGGTCAATGGGAGACGTGAGAACCAGGAGTGGAGCTGACATAGCTTCAGATCACCACCTGGTGGTTGCCAAGAAGAAATCGGAGCTAAAGAAGCACTGGACAATTGAACAAGCAGTATTACAAGGTTTAATACGGCGTTCCTTCGATATACTGACAAAGTCAATGAATTCAAGATAACTCTCAATAACAGGTTCCAAGCCTTACAGGATCAACTGAAAGAAGAATAAGCTACGATGGGGGACAACTGGAAAGAGATCAAATAAGTACTAACTTCAACGTGACAGGAGGTGCTGATCAGAAAGAAGCATCATAAGGAATGGGTCTCTATAGAAACACTGGACAAGATTCAAGAAACGAAGAACAAGACAGCAATTAACAACAGTCGAACAAGAACAGAAAATGTACACAGAAGCAAACAAGTGAAGAAGAGCATTAAAGCCGACAAGCAGAAATACATGGAAGAGCTAGCAACGGCGGCACAAAAAGCTGCAAGATAAGGAAATATGAAACAACTATATGACAACGAAGAAACTGTCAGGGAAACATAGTAAACCAGAGACCGATCAGAGACAAAGAAGGCAAGCCGATCAGAGATTCAAGAACAGAGGAACAGATGGGTAGAACACTTCGAGGAACTTTTGAATTAACCAGCTCCACTGAATCCACCGGACATGGAAGCAACACACACAGACCTTCCTATAGATGTCAATCCACCAACGACCGAAGAAATCAGAATGGCCATCAGACAAATCAAGAGCGGGAAAGCAGCAGGACATGACAATGTACCAGCTGAATTCAGACATGGAAGTAACTGCAAGCATGCTTCACCTTCTATTCAAGAAGATTTGGGGGGAGGAACAAGTACCGAACGACTAGAAAGAAGGTTACCTCACCAAGATACCAAAAAAGATCTGGGCAAATGTGAGAACTACAGAGGAACCACACTACCATCAGTGTCAAGAAAGGTATTCAACAGTGTTGTTGAACCGGATGGAAGATTCAGTAGACGCCCAACTTCGAGACCAACAGGCTAGATTCCGTAAGGATCGGTGGTGCACTGACCAAATCGCGACACTACAGATTATCGTTGAACAATCAATCGAATACAACTCGTCACTATACATCAACTTTCTTGACTATAAGAAAGCATTTGCATTGTAGATAGAACACTATGGAAACTTCTTCGAAACTATGGAGTATCTGAGAAAATCGTCAACATCGTACGGAATTCATACGACGGACTACACTGCAAAGTGGTGCATGGAGGACAGCTGACAGACACATCGCAAGTAAAGACCGGAGTCAGACAAGACTCTCTACTCTCCCACCTTCTTTTTCTTCTAGTGGTTAACCAGATTATGAAAAGCTCCACATCTGAGGGGAAGCATGGAATAAAATAGACAGGTTGGATGTAACCAGACGATTTGGACTTCGAAGGTGACCTAGCTCTCCTATCCCATACACATCAACAAATACAGAGGAAGACAGACAGTGTAGTATCAGATTCTGTGACAGTGGGCCTTAACATACACAAGGGAAAAAGTAAGATCATAAAGTATAACACATAGAGCATCAACCCAGTCACATTTGACAAAGAAGCTCTTAGGGGGTGGAAAGTTTTACGTAACTGGACGATATCATCGATAAACAAAGAGGATCTGATCCAGACATAAAGGCAAGGATTAGTAAAGTAAGGGTAACATTCCTACACTTGAACAACATATGGAACTCAAAACGACTGTCAACTAATATCAAAGTCAGAATCTTTAATAAGGACGTCAAGACAGTCCTACTGCACGGAGTGGAAACTTGAAGAACCACTGCACTCATCATCAAAAAGATACAAGTAATTAAATACAATTTTCTACTCAAGATACTCTATGTCCGTTGGTCAGATACCACCAGCAACAGAGAACAAGCCAACTTCCTGCTGAGGAGGGAATTAGGAAAAGACGTTGGACGTGGACAAGACACACATTGAGGAAATCACCAAAATGTATCTCGAGGTAAGCGCTAACTTGGAATCTTGAGGGGAAACGGAAAAGATGAAGGCCAAAGAACACACTACGCCGAGAACTAGAAGCAGATGTGAGTAGAATGAATAGCAGCTGGAAAGGATTGCCCAGGACAGGATTGGATAGTGAATGCTGATGAGCGGCCTATGCTTCTCCATAAAGGGTAACAGAAGTAATTAAGTAAGTAATATAGTAATATGGATTATGAGCCATGTCACTCAATGTCTCTAACTACTGAGTGCAGTTATCGCAAGTTGATAATGCTGAACTGATTACCATACGTAATAAAACAATGAATAGAGTCTCTCCTAAATATCAAAATAAAGAAACAACTAGACCAAACAACAATGCCTATTGTTATATAGACAATTAAACTAGAAACCAAACGAAAACTTTATACGTGGTAATGAGCTTGATTTATAAACAACACAACTTCGTCACATAGCTAGTTGGATATAAGTCCTTAGTGCTACTCAAGAATTGGTTACAAAATAAAAACAACTCGAGAGGAAAGTTGGAAAATCCATAAACTCAAGATGACTTTCCGTGAGTTGCGATTAATGGAATTCAATAAATCGGATTCAAGACAATTAAACACCAAATTAACCGAATTTATGTCATCTCACACAATGGTGAAGTATTAACTCAGTGGTTGAAGTGTTCGCTCTCAATTTACGAAGTCGCAAATTTAAACCTCATCTATTCATCTATTCCAGTTTAGGCAAATGATCAGTACAAGTCACTAACCCTCACACTTACAGTGTAGCCCTAAAGCCAAGTACACAAACCTGTATATGAGGTAGATAAAATGATCACATACAGTCATGTTATTGCAAGAAAAATATCTAAAAATGCATTTCCCTATGGTTTTCCTTAAAGTTTTAATGTTGAAATATAAGTTAAATTTATATATACAACAAGCAAACTAATAAAGAAGCAAAAAATTCAATAATTATATGGCGTACTACTTATTTATTTTTACAGTAACACATATAAGGAATAGTATTGATAATAACAATTGTGATATTTACACTTCCATAAAAAACTAAAAACGGATCAAAATAAATCAGTGTGATAATGATCTTGTCGTAATTGTTTTGTATATGATTTCTCTTTCTTTTTACGTAATCTTTCTTCGTTGGCTTTCACTTTTCTGTTTCAGATTTGTAGGTGAAAAAAAAGGGGAAATACATCAAAGAAAAATTTGTCAGAATTATGTTTATAAAACTGTTAAGATAAAACAATGACATACAATATAGACCAATAAATAGTTTCAGACGGTAAGTTAGTTTGATATTAATTTGTTGGAGGTAGTATGTAGGAATATCCAACTCGCCCTTTGTTTCGTGCTAGTTAACACCTATAATTTTGGTATAATTGGGGTTAGCCATGGAATTTGAACGCATTTCACAGTCAGAAATGTTACACACTTAGTTATTCGAAACATGATTAACCGCCTGTAGGAGTGGAATACTTACATTGATTTGTGCTGCTTGATGTAGCTAAAACACCACTGAGAGAACTAGTTTCCTGAAAACTGCAGGTACACTTTTTTGGTGTGCGTTGAATAGCACAAACTTAGGTTCAGGGTTCCCACTGCAATACTGTGAGCCATATAACATCTAAATATAATGTACACGATAGAAAATCACTTAAAATAATCGAGACATTGCAATTCAACCGATAGAATTAAATAACCATTAAAGGAATATACAAAAATGTCATTGGACACTACTCAGTTATCAATTGATTATATATATATGATTATCTAAATATGCACATATTAGTTTGTTTGGTTCTGTGAAAATGGTCGAATCGGTCCTGACGGTCGAATAATAAAATATTACAGAGTAGGCTTATAACTACAAAAGCAAACAAGCCAGAAGTGAGGATTTACATCTTTCTACCACTACTGTCAATACTAACCGGTGTGTTCAGTTTTAAATACAATCTTCATATTAATAGGTATAATCAATATACGAAAGTCGGAAGTATGCATTTAGACAAAGTCAGTATACATAAACTAGACCTATAGTTAACAAAGACAAGGTGAAGATAACTAATTTATTATCTAATGCATACATACATACCATACATTAAATACTCCATTTGCAAATCTTCCATCGATTGTTCGTTACATTCTACATGATTCTTCTACTTCACAATTCCTTTCTGTTTCCTTTTTTTGTTTTCTTCAGTTCAATTTTTTTCAACTTTCTTTCGGCAAGCCTTCCACTTCTGATAGATGTTACATACTACATATATTTGTCAGTATAAGTAGCATGCACCACACTCATCTCCCCTTTTAATAAGCTGTTCCTGCGGTCGTTTCCAAAGTTGTAACGCTCTTTCCTTTGTCGGTGTTCGTGACGCTCCTACATGATGCCACTGAAATCATCTCTGTACTTGGCTGTCATTTCCGCGCTTCTGATGGTCTCCTTTCCGTGAAAATGTACGGTCCTACCTACTTCAGGATCAGCCTCCCTGATCCTGGTCCGCTTCTATGATGTATTTCCGTTCTTTACATTTAACCATGTCGCCCGCTGCAAAAAACTTCCACTTCTTTTTCTGCTGTTCCTCCTTCTTCGTGTTTGATATTTGCTTCCTTTTCATGTTCCTTATTGCCTCCTTCCTCTCTTTTCTTGACCTCGTTGCCGTTCACTTCTGTTGTTGTGGTCAGGTTTTATTATGTATTGGAAGTTGTTCCTCATATGGATGCATGATGAGCCAGCAATATCAATGGTAATTCTGTCTCCCAATTCCCTCCTTTAGAAGCTGACCATTCCTTTAATGTCCGGGTATTTCTTTCTGTAAGTCCGTCCGTCTACGGAGGGTACAGTGTGAATCGTGTTCTCTTGATGCTAAACTGCCCTAGAAAAGCTTTAAACCTCATCACTTTCAAAACAGGGAACCTGGTCGGTTAATATCGCCTTCGGTAATCCATGACCCGCCACAATGTACCGGACTACTACTTCGATCATTGTTCATGCCCGCTAGTCTGCGATAAGCATGGTGTTTACCCAACGTGTAGCGATGTCCTTTATGGTTAGAATTTTCTCGGACAGTGGTTTTATTTTTCCGTTTCCCACTTTATGCCCTAACAAAGTGACGCTACTTTTCACTGTATGCGACTTGTTTTTATTAATTCGTAATCCGAATCCTTCAATTCACTTCAGGGCCGCTTCCACATGCTTTACGTGGTTTGCACGGCTGTACACAACTACATCGTCGCCATACACCTCGACGTTATCTAGACCCTTGAGTAGCAGCGTAATTAATCTTCTGAACGTAATCAGTGCACCTGCCAACCCAAAAGACATTCGCCTACACTAAGACTGCTTATCACAAACGGTAAATGTCTTTTTTCGATCGCTCTCTTTTGTAGGTAGTGGCCATTAACCTGACCACAAATCCAGCAATGTAAACACTGTAGGATTCTGTAACCGGTCTAATATTTCCGCTATTATTGGCATTGCACACAATTTCAGTTCTGTTGTTATTCAGTTCCCTAAAGTCGACACAGGATCTGTACTTCCCATTTGGCTCCCTTATAAAGAAGACTGGTGAGCTGTACGGTCTGTCCGCGTCTTCAGTTATACCTTCATTTAAAATCTCCTGGATTTGTCGATTTACCTCAGCCTTCAAATGCACGGGAACACGATATGTTGCGAATATAATTACTCAATCATCTTTTATCAAAAATCCATGCTTCGTTTGGTCGTAAATTCCGTACGGCTCTCCGTCTCCCGTGAACAGTCTCGTATATTTTGTGAGCAACTCATTAACTTTGTTGTTACTTACATCTCAGCCACTTCGCTACTTTCATGCATTAGGAATGAATCGTAGTTCATGACCACCTTCCTGATTCTTAACTTTTACGATACTGTTAGACATTCCCAAAACCCTATGGTGTGGACAGATAATGTACACGGCTTAAGTCTTTTACATTGCCCTTCGCCTATTACCGATACTGCTGCCCTTGTATCAATCAGATACACTAAATCTCGTTTATTTATGCTTACTCTAGCATAGACTGCCCCTCTATCGACTAGTGCAACAACCTCTCGGTTTCATTGTGTAGAAAGAACACAAATTATATCGTCTAAAATCTCTGAGTTTTCGTCTTTTTTGACAGTTTTTCTTCCAACGCCCAGTTCCTCAACAAGCGTAACATTTATCATTCCTGTTATTATTCACTTGTATTTTGGCAATCTCATGCTTCAGCTCCTCTATTTTCCTGATACTGCTTATCTCTTGACTTCCGCACCCCATCGGAGTTATTGTTTAGGTCATCAACTGTCTGGTCACTGATATCCATGAGTTGTGCAGCGCTTACCAATTTCAGCTGCTAGGAAATGGCAGCAGGCACGCTCTCGATGGATTGCGATACCAAAAGCTGTGCAACAAACTCAAACTACCTCGGCCATGGAATCTTCACTGAATGTCTTGTCATATAGAATAAAAAATAACGACGTTGACATTATTTTTACTTATCAAACAAACACATTACGACTATTTTGGTGTTTTGTTTTCTAAACTCGACGGTATATTCGACTAAGCCATACATTTCAGAAAGAAAACCGCCAAAATTTTCAACCATAAGCTACCAATATTCTACATCATCTTAAAGCACTCACCGAGATTGAATTGCTTCCAAAGTTTCAGGACTTGGTTCAGGTTTATTTAATGAGTTAACGCATTCCCTGATTATACGACGAATTCGTTCTAAACAATCAGCTTGATTTAATATTTGTTTCCTAGTATGATCCGATGTAATAATAAAGTAATTCTCTTTATTAATTCGATTAGCCTCCTAAAAATTGTGGAAACAAATTAACAAATATAGGCAATAAAAGAAATACCCTTTCCATAAATAGTTGTTTAACTTGATCTGGTATCCATGACGCTGATGGAACATGAAAACGTATCTCCACTTTCGTTTTATCTAAAAAACATCACAGAGAAATAGGGATAATATAATCTGACCAGTCAGTCAAAAGTTATATAGAGCCTGGCCATGTATATAAATTGGTCTAGGCTGCCACACCATATTAACACACTAACATAAAAATATCACGATTAATCCCAAAGTATTAGAAGTAGCAACATTATTACTGGTAGTATGAAGCATTAGGCATACAGAATATGAGTCGAGAAAGAGAAATCATGCAATAAACAGTAAAAGATAATGTTAAAATACGGAATCTATGAGGAAGATAGAGAGTGAACGTATCTACACCATTGAGACTGATTCTAAATCATATCATCCAACATCTTGAATCAATGATAAGGATTAATTTGCGGACCCTAATCATGTAGCTTGCACTTATCAACACAGTTTGATTAGTAGCTTACGAGTATCTTCTACTCTTAATGGCCACGTTTTGCAACCGTAAAGTTAAACACAACGCGAACTGCCGCGCAGTATACTCGTCCTTTTATTGATAGACGGATATCTCGCCTTCGCCATAGGTGACGTAAGTTGGCAAACGCCAAACGAGCTTTTCGAATCCGTGCTAAGATTTCGTCAGACGCCAATCCTTTAGGGCTGATCAGACTTTCAAGGTAAGTGAAGTTGTTGACATGTTCGACTACTTCACTCCCTATCCTTAGTTTATGTGTTGATGCAGACCAGTCCTGAAGCAGCAGCTTGCATTTAGAGGGAGAGAAGCGCATTCCAAACATTCTGGCATTGTTGCTTAGTGCTACCAAAAAATTCTGTATTTTATCAGCGTCTTCACCAAACAGGACTATATCATCTGCATATTCTAAGTCGATAAGTGGACCTCCTGGATGGAGATCAATACCCGAGAATTCAGTCGACGAAAATGTTATTTCCATCAGTAGGTCTATGATGAAGTTAAACAAAGATGGAGAAAGTGGACAGCCTTGACGGACACCACTTGAGGTTGCAAAAGTAGATGACAGTTCGCTGTAAGCTCTCACTCGACTAGTAGTGTTCGAGTAAAGAGCCCTCACAAGTTTTGTATTTCTGAGGTACGCCTTTCGATGACAGACACTGCCACAGAATCTCGCGGTCTGCCGAGTCAAATGCTGCTTTTAAGTCGAGAAAGACCACCATTGTCGGACACCGATAAGTATGCCTATGTTCTAAAACCTGACGAATGGTGAGTATGTGGTCGATGCAGCCACGACCAGGTCTGAAGCCAGCTTGATTCTCTCATGTTCGCAGTTCACGAGTCTTAGTTAGGCGTCCGATAATTATTGATGCTAGTATTTTAGATTTTATGTTAGTCAAACTAATCCCTTTATGGTTATCACAGGATGATTTTGATCCTTTCTTATATATCGGGACGATAAGTTATTGCCACCAGTCAGATGGGATTACGTCTAACTCCCAGATTTCAGCCAAAATATTGGTCAACCTAATCGCTAAAATTGGACCACCATCCTTAAAGACTTTCGGAGTCAATCCATCTGGACCAGCTGCCCTTCCTTGTTTCAGAGTCAGTCAGTCAGTTCAGTCAGTAACAACGTAGAGCTTCGTACGTACGTACATCAGTTCGAGTTGCCACGCCACATTAGCACACAGATGTAGTGGTCGATTCAAATCCCGTAGTGGTAGAGGTAATAAGAGTATAAGCAGTAATCACGAAAATTAGTGTTTGGAGATGTTATTTAAAGAGTATAATACAATGATCTATAACTTCAGCTAGAGTC